CATATGGAGGCCCTCTTATGCGTTGCTTGACCGCATTTGAGGCCGATCTGGTAATGAAGAAATTGCACTCGGGTATTTGTTCATCACATCAAGGAGGCCGATCCTTGGCTCGTCGAATCATGCTGATCGGGTATTATTGACCGTCCCTCCAGCTAGACTATGAGAAGTTAGCTCGGGAATGTGAGACGTGCCAATTGTTTGCCCGGATGCCGGGACGACCGGCCACTTTCTATCAACCGGTCACAACCGCAATTCCCTTCGCTAGATGGGGGGTGGACATCTTGGGACCCTTCCCTCAGCTCTCCGGTCAGAGAAAATTTGTCATCGTTGCCATTGATTACTTTTCCAAATGGATAGAAGCCGAGCCGTTAGCCACGATCACCTCTCAGCAGTGTACTCGGTTCTTATGGCGCAATGTGATTTCCCGCTTTGGTGTGCCCGTGCATCTCATCAGCGACAATGGCCGCCAATTCGTAAGCCAATATTTCCAGAACTTCTTGGCCACAATCGGGATGACTCACGTCCGGTCATCGGTGGCTTACCCGCAGGGAAATGGGCAAGTAGAAAATGCCAATCGGACGATTCTGGAAGGTCTTAAAAAGAAGCTACACTCGGCTGGTCGTAGTTGGGCCGATGAGTTGCCATACGTTTTGTGGACTTATCGGACGACCCCGAGGGAGGCTACTTTGGAGACCCCTTTCGCCCTCGTTTACGGAGCAGAAGCCCGACTCCCGATCGAGGCATGGATCCCGACCGACCGAGAACGAACTTACAATGCAGAGGAGAATGAACACTCGATGGTCGTGGATCTCGATGGGGTCGAGGAGAAAAGAGAGCTAGCCGCTAGGCGTATGACCGAGTATCAGAAGAAAGTCAAGAGTTCAAAGGACGTTCGGGTCAACCCTCGTTATTTTCAGGTGGGAGATTACGTACGACGGGAGGCCAGTCAACCATTAGAAGGTGGAAAGCTAGCTCAGAATTGGGAAGGGCCATACATCATCAGCGCTGTCATACGGCCGGGGACGTACCGACTGGAGACAACAACCGGTCGGATAATCGAGGGGACTTGGAATTCCGAGTACCTCGTTATGTTTAGGCATTAGCCTATTTCTTGTAATTTCTAGACGAAGTGGGGGCTCGACCTGCGAGTTGGCCTCGGTCGTAATTTATTTGAGAGTTGTAAATATTTGTTCAACCGCCTGCGAGCGGGAAGGTTTAATGTATATACGATCGGTGATTGCTCGACCGTTTGCATACGGCGGCCCGATCGGTTTTTTCCTTACCTTCGTTAACGTAGGTTAGGTCACCATCAAGTTATCTCGACCGGGCGAGTCCATCGACCGGTCATATGCGCTCCTCTTCGGCGGACATCTGGGTCGCGCCACCGATCGGGAAAGCCAGAGCTCCCAGCATAATTTCCCGATCTGTCCAACTTCTTTCCACTATCGCACCCGCTCGTGCCTCGAGGGCACAATAGCGTGGGGGCTGGGATGAAGGAAGTGTCGTAGGTCCGTCGCTCGGGAACACCCAGATCGTGGAGGCTTACCAATTTTCAAAATTTTCGACAAGGCCAAAAGATCGGGTAAACCTGATCGGGCAGGCCAGCACAGCGTCGGAATTCCAGTCGAACGATGCACGACTGGGCCATAAGGCTGCGAGGTCGGGCATTAGACCAATCGGAAGACGCACGAGCAGGCCATAAGGCCGCGGGGTCGGGTGTCGAACGAATTCTATGAGGCACGACCGGGCCATGAGGCCAAAGGGTCAGGCTTTGAGTGTGTCAAGAAATGCATGACCGGGCTACAAGGCCGTAAGGCCGAGCGTTAGGTATTCGGTGCATGTACAACCGAAAGCAAATAAGGACGAATGGAATAAGTTCAGTAAAAACAAGTTTCATTAATTCCAAAAGTGCCCGGTACAAACTCGGGACCGGGCTCCCGATCAAGGTCACTTACAAAAAAGAAGTAAAACCTACTTCTATTTCTTCGCCCACTCGGCCTCGCCTTTCTTTGAAGCCTCTGCCTCGCTCGGGGTGGCCACAGTCTTTAGTGAAAATCATTCCTAGGACACTTTTTGTCCGAATGATTTGCCAATCTGAGTGATAGACAACATTCTCATTGTTTCTTTTAATGAGTATTGTCTTTCAACAAGTCTGTCTTTGAGTTCAATAGTACAAAAAAAGGTTTTAAAGTCTCCCATAAAACACTTTCCGAGTCACCTGTATAGGTGACACAGATCTTGGACACTATGAAAGTCCTCCGCTTTTCGAGTCACCCGTAAAGGGTGACTCGGAAAGCGGAGGATGATTTTTTTTAAAATTTTTTTAATATAGACTTTCCGAGGCACCTGCTCCGCTACAGGTGCCTCCGATAGTCCTTTATTATTATTTTATTAATTTGTTTCCGAGACACCCACTTGCAGGTGGGTTCCTCGGAAAGTTACCATTTAATATATATATATATATATATATATATATGTATGTATGTATGTATGTATGTATGTATGTATGTATGTATGTATGTATGTATGTATGCATGCATGCATGCATGCATGTATGTATGTATGTATGCATGCATGTATGTATGTATGTATATATATATATATATGTATGTATGCATGTATGTATGCATGTATATATATATATATATATATATATATGTATACATACATACATACATGCATGCATGCATGCATACATACATACATACATACATACATACATACATACATACATACATACATACATACATACATACATACATACATACATACATACATACATACATACATACATATATATATATATATATATATATATATATATATATATATAAGAAAAAATTACAGCCAAAAGAAAAAGTTTAATAAAGAAATGTTTTTTTAAAGAGTTCTTCATTGCCACCAAAACAATGTTTTACATATGACCCAAAAGTGGTCACCCCACAAGGGCATAATATCTATACAAACCACTAACTAATCCATAATGCCGCATTGCCTTAGTGCAAACCAATACTAACCAAATGGGTGCAACCAACCTAAACCTTGCGGCCTACCAAGCCCTCCCATTTCTGTGTGATTGGCGAGGACCATCATCTGCAAGACTTACCATCTACCCCAAATCTGTCAAATAGGATTAAAAGATATCAGAAGGCAAAAATTATCCTTGGAGATATTAAAAGGCAAAAATTAAGATTAATTTCACTGCAAATCAAAATTAATTTTATGAAAATTTTTATAAAATCAAGTACAATAGTTAATACTCAGTTCTGTATGAAGATAACAATGGGGTAATTATATTAAAGATATCCATCCAACCCTCATTACCATGATAATGTTGAGCAGTAATCATTCTAACTCACTTTACATTTCTACAACATAAAATTCATTTTTTATCTAGTGATATGTAATAACATCAACTCAATCCCAATCCTGGGCAAGGCTAACAAAGAGATGTATAAAACGCAATGTCTTGATACAAGGTTTATCTCTCGTTGTGGCAGCATTCGGCCATTGCGAAATCAAAATTTCGACATAACAAGTTGTATGAGTTCTGAAAATGTAAAACAAAAAGAATCATGGAAGCCAAGTCATGGGTTACTCATAACAATAATAGTACCAATGTAGAAGAGATAAAAGGAGAAGCCTCACAAGTCACATGTTTCGAGCATGCATAATTGAGCCATACAACACCTGGACAGAAACTATTCGCTGATAGCCTATTCCACTTTCGGCAACTTGTAAGAACTTCATGATGCCATAAGGTGTTTCATTATTCAATCCAATGTATTTGATCTAGAGGAAATAAATTTCACCTTCAATTGAATGCCAAAAAGTAAAGTTGAATAACCAAATTATTAGGAAGCACAAATAACCTTTCCAGCATCGACAACTCTGCTTAAAGCACTTATTTGTTCCTCAAACTCACTGAGGAAAAATTTAGGAGCTGATCATATTCAGTTTCTCCAAACATTGGAACATAGCTGTGAGAAGGTCCAAGAAATTTCAATTAAATGGTGGATGACAGACTGGTTAGACTTCAACTCCCAGCACTCTCATTGTCTCCATCAACCTGAAATGGTGGATGGATATACAAGTCATTGTTTAATTGATAGGTATCATACAAAGGGCAAAGATTCAAGTCATTGTTTAATTGATAGGTATCTTATCAATTAAACAGATGCTGTGATATTTGCAAGCATTTTTACATACATAATGATGTAACTAAGTTCTCAAATCCAAAAGAGATGAAAAATTAAGTAACTACTAAACCAAATAAACACAAACCAGCATGGTTGCTGGATATACAGAGAGAAGGGGGTTTACTTGCATTGTGGTAGTGCTGCTCATGGATCCATCTTCCTCAGGGCGACCTAATTTACTTATATCATGATAAAACCTAAAAACGAGGTACGGAGAGTGGTGCCGTATATTATAATACTGCTGCACAAACGCGTTGCCCACCTAATATCACCACCAAAACAAAAAGTGTTAGCAGAACGAGCCAAATTATTATTTCTTACAAAGAAGAAAAGAAAAAAACGCTTACGACTTGGGCAGAGACCGCCGGTTGCGCCGCTACCTCTGGAGCTGCTACTGTTGCCATCGCCACTTGATCTCAACTAACAAGCTGCCTGCGAAAACTGTAGCACAATAAAAAGCGACGCCTCATTTTTGTAATTAAACTGAGAGTTTCATTTTCACTAGTACAAAAAACATCAATAAAATCGACAAATTCGCGTTCAAAGTTCTAACTTTGGACGCCTAAAGTGTAATGCGGTGACATTTTTATAATTAAAATGCCATTATATAAATATTTTTTTTTAATTTTAAAACAGTATTGGCGTCCAAAGCTCTGTACTTTGGACGCTAATATTAAAAGTCTTCTATTATTCGCGTCCAAAGCTCTGTACTTTGGACGCGAATAATAATCAAGACGCGATATTTTTATTTTTTTTATCTTAAAAGCCCTAGCTAGAGCAGATCGAGATCAGATCGCCGTCCATTAGCACCACCATCATCTCCATCAGCTCCGATCTTCATCCATTAGTACCACCGTCCGACGCCGTCCATCAGTCTCCATCGGCCCCGCTGTCCACAGCTCTCCATCTTCCCGTCCATCGCTGCTCGCCGATCTACGTCACCGCCGCTGCCGCCCAAGGTCGCCGCCGCGACGCCTCAGGTCTACTATCTCACCACCGCATTACACACGCCAAAAAGGTTAGAATTAAATTTTTAAATTCAGTAATTATTTAAATTATATTTTGTTATTTGTTATTGTTGTTTATTTATTTTGTTATTTACATAGCAGTCAATTATATTGAATTATTGTAAGTAATTTACTGCTGAATGAATGAATGAAACGGTGCCTGCTTTTTTGATTGAATGAATGAATGAAACGGTGAAAAGAAGGTTGGTATCACAAGGTTTCTGGTCTGACCCAAGTACAAAGACTAAACTAGAAAGGAACTTTAACGTATGATAAAATGTGTTTTTTTTGTGTGATTATTATATCCTCAATGCTGTAGTATATGTATACAACAACAATGCCTGATTGTGAGGGGTGACAGACCTTATATCCTTTGCTGCTTGGAGCTATTAATGAATTTATAAATAGGTTCAAACAGAAGGCTGCAAATTGGGATGATTGGGTGAGGACTCTAAGTGGTCATATAATGGTGAATATTTTTCATTTAACTTGAGAATAACTTTTGGTGTCAATATAGTCTGGTGTTGTTACTTAGCACATATCTTTTAGACTATCTCTTCTGACTCTGGAGTTCTATGGTGATCTAGCTAGCTAATTGAAATTGGGCACCTTGCAATCTTCATGTGTACCCTTTCTGGACACCTTTGTATTATTTTTCAGCTTAGACTTTATATGCTCATTAGCTCATAAGGCCAAATTAGATGTTTAAATTTAATTGCTTCAAATGGTTTAGACTTTAGACATGCTGCATAGGCAGCATGGAACATTGTGTTGCTAATTTGGCCTTCTAGTTTGCGCATATGATACATGATTTTTTATGTAACTCTTTTTAAGCTCTTCCAAGTCAGTTCTTAGGTTCAGCAGATAAGCTCCTTATCTATTTGACATTATACATAAATGTGGCATTGAAGAGTCTTGAAGGCTGCAGAACTTTAGCTGAAGGTACTAAGGCTATAATAAACTTAGGACATGAAAATGTTCCTGTAGCTGGGGAGAAAGGCTTCAATTCTTTATTGCAGTTGTTACTGTTCCTTTATCCTTTAACTTAAGTGATCTGGGACGATAACGAAACAAGGAGCAAGTAGATTGTTATCTATTAGATTCTTAATGTTAAGCTGGACATAATTGCTTTTTAATTTGAAATTTTGATAAAAGCCATGTAAATATAAATTAATCAACTTCAATTGTTTTCTTTGGATTTGTCATTTTGTTACTCAATTACCACAACATGAAATATTCCAATTTGCTTGTTTCACTATTATCTCAATATTTGAATCTCAGACCATTAAGTTTACACATCTTCAAAATGGTCCACCTTATATGCTTGACCGTTAACTGTAAATAGCATTTTAAGCCTTACAATGGTCTGATAATGGAATATATTTTCTGCGAGATTCTTTAGTGGCAACTAAAATCTTGTACTGAACTATTGACTTTTTTTTTTTTAATCATAGAGCTATTTAGAGAGGAGACAAGTTGGAGATTACTCAATGTTGCATTTCGGGCTAATGGGACTCCGAACAAATGGTGGCTAGCATTTGCAAAGAGAAGATTTATGAACATACTTGATGATTGAGGTTTAGTCTTTTAAAAGAGATGTAGAGAAGATTACATCTACTCTTGACAAAATAACTGCTTGTCAAGTTTCAAAAGGCAAGAGAGGTTTCCTTTTAAACATTTCTATTTACTACTCTGATCTATACACTCGACCAATGCTTTCTTCCATAAGAAATTAAAGAAAGCAGGATTAGGGTCACATCCATCAAAGGTTTGGTTTTCCGATCCATTTTCGTAATCAATTTTTAACTATACAACATATATAAAGACAACTAATTTGCTGGCATTAATCCATGAGTTATCTTTGGTGTTCTTAGATGGTGAATATCCATTTCTGTGTAGATTTGATAAACAAATCACAAGAAGAAGTTTGTCCTAAAGTTTTGGTTAGTGCAACTGCAGTTGGCTATTATATTATGGTTTCATATTAAATTCTTTCGATTTCTTAAATTATAGAAGACCACATAGTGTTCCAGTCTGATTTTCAAATTAAATCACAGGTACAATGGAGAACCATAACAGTTTACTTGGGATTAGAGAGTATCCTTCTTTTAGAGAGAAACATGTTGATGCAGTATGTTGGTTCCTCTTGGGATGACTTAAAACATGTAAGGCAGGCTGTAGGATTCTTGGTATGTTTTCTTGTTTGCTTTATGACAAAGTAGTTTCGATGTTAACATGATTTCATATTCTTTGATAGAAGACCAAATTTTATGTCATGGGTGGACTGCTTTGCAGCTATGGACTTTAAGACAATAGTGAGATGACTTTCTTACCAGTCTTCTGACTTAAACTGATTTAAAATTTTCAGGTTCTGCAAGAGAAAGCAAAGATTACATACGATGATCTTACAACTGACTTGTGCCCTGTAAGCTATTTTATGAGTACTCCATGCTTTTCTTGTTTCTTGTTTTAAAATTTTCAGGTGCTCAATGCTCTTAAATCATTGAAAACATTGTAAGATTTCTTTCTCGCCAGGTTTGAAGAGCTTAAAATGTATTTTGCACCATCGAGTTTCATTTTTCCTGATTCATGTTTGCCATTGTTTCATGTCCTTACTGAAAACACAGAGTACGAGATGATTAATTTTGCATGTCCTTCATGTTTTAAAAGTCCAAGGATGAATGTGAATACTTGATAAATTTAGCCAAACCTCACATGGCATTAACTCTATTATTAGTGAATTCTAAGTGCTTGTTTGGCTATCTACTCCAAAAGAATAGAAGTTGGACCAAACACTAAAACGGGAAAAGGCTTTTAAAGCCAAATAAAATTATAAAAGGCAAAAGCTAGCTTTGAAGAAGCTTCATAGTTGAAAAAGCGTTTGTGTGTGTGTTTTATTTATTTATTTATTAAATAATCATAATGTCCAGCCGGCCAAACAAGCACTAAATCTTCTGCATATTTGTTCTTTTATAGAGACCTTCACTTTATGAGATTGCCTTGTAGATTTCTTCCATGTTTTAAACCATTTTGGTCTATTTATTCTAGGTGGTTGCCATGTTATAAGAGGAAACAAGTGGTTTTTTACTAAGTGGATGCGTGTTGGTGAGTACAAGCTCTATTTATGAGATTTCAGCAACAAGCACTCAGACAGTTTGACAAGGATATTTCAGCAGATGTGTGCTTCTCATAACATTTTGAATGTTTGATACATTTTAATTGTTAACATTTAGAATTTGTAGTAAAATATTATTAGAATTGAAATTTTAGATTTGTGTGTTTTAGTTGATAGAATTGGTGTGTAGTATACATCTTAAATTGATTAATGTCGAAATATATTATTTGGTAGTTATGCTGGGATGTAGAGGAAAATATTGGTAGTTTTATTTAATTTTTTTTTACTATACGCGTCTAAAGTTTAGAAACTTTGGACGCGTATAGTATTTTTTAAAAAGTAAATAGACACTATACGCATCCAAAGTTCACGAACTTTGGACGCGAATTATCATTTTTCGCGTCCAAAGTTCTTCAACCTTGGACGCGAATAATCATTTTGCGCGTCCAAAGCTACTTTGGACGCTGATTGTTTATACAATCAGTGTCCCCGACATCTGCGTCCCAGTTACTTTGGATGCGAATTAGCCTTAACTTTGGACGCGAATGACTGTTTCTGTACTAGTGTTTCTTCCCTTATTCTCTTGTTCTGTGTCCATTGGTAATCTTTCCTAGTATGATTACCTTTCTTCTTTAGCTAGATTGGCAAGTTGTATCCTTCAAACCTTAAACCACTTCCTTTCTCATATTCCTCATACGGAACGAATGTTCCAGACCCATCCATTGTTACTTTGTTGTCTCTCATTAACTTCTTTCAAAGATTGATCTACTCTTGGCGAGATAGTCCTACAAGTGAGTAGACAGATTGTGATCCATAGGATGGTCTCAGTCTTATAGATTGCCGTCGAAACTTGGAGGGTGCTTCATGTCGAGACTTTGAGGGTGTCGTCTGCTGAGACTTGGAAGGAGGTGTGTTGTATGTGTGATCGAAGGTTCCTTCATTTCTTCTTTCGGGTTCCTTTCTTCTTCCTCCATCTGCATCATCATCATCTTTCCTATGTCTCTTTTCCCCCTTTTTGGCATCATCACCATCAGTGGGAGGATCAGAAGGTTTCAAAAGTGAATCAACCTTGATAGAAAGTTCCTTGACATAGTTCAGGATCTGAACTTGATATTCAGCCATGGCAAACAGATTATCGTTGGCTGTATCAACCTTCAGACACGAGAGATCCACTCGTTCTTTGAGACCAAATTGGGCAAGCTTGAGCGAATGTTGCTCTTTTGCAATTTTATAAAGCATTTCGGTCTGGTGGCTTAAATCAACAGGCTGCTGAACTTGTGGAGTTGATGATTTTGCCTTTTGATCTTCCTTCTGCATGAAAGTTAGTTGTCTTGCGATGAGAGACAATTGAGCAGACAGGTGTTGCATTACTCCAACATCTTCTAGGCGTTGCTCATTATATCGTTGATGTTGTTTGTGAAGCGCCTCAACTGTTCTTGCAAGAAGTGTTAAGATTGCTTCAATATCAAGAGTTTCATTTTTAGTTTGGATGCCATGCTCAATTCGGCTGGGGACGACATGTGCCATACTCAATGATGCTTCCGGTTTGCCATCATGAGATGCTTTCGGGATCCAAGATTTTCCATCCTTTGAACGAGAGTAGAGATCCGTAGGTGGGATCATCACAGTTCGTCCAATGACGGGCGATTCGTCATCATCATTATCATCATCGCTGGAATTTGCATCACTATTTCCACCATCATCATCATTTGGGTCATCACCATTACTACCATCATTTTCGTTATCATCTTCCTCATCATCATCGTCTACATCATTTTTCTCATCATCATCATCTTCATCATGTTTCTCATCATCATCATCTTCATCATTTTTCTCATCATCTTCTTCTTCATCACTTTTCTCATTAGCAGCACCTTCAACAATCTCCTTATCAGAATCATCCTTCTTAGAAACTTCACCACTTCTGTTTCCATCTGTATTTTGGACATGCGGTGGTGTGTTGTCTTTTCGAGAGGTATTATCATGTGTGGGGTCTGGAACTTGTTCCTCTCGTGCATCAGCTGTCAGATGGATGTGAGCATCGATAGCTTTCGTGCCACTTGTGCTGCAATGAGGATCATTCTTGTATAGCTTCTCAAGCTCGGTTTTGATCTTGGACAAATGTATAACATCTCTTAGATTCTTCATTTCGGCCTCGAATGCTGGATCATCAAATGAAGGCTTCACGATGTCAAGGCTGATTGGAGCCTTTTATGTTCTAATGCTTCTATTTGTGATCTTGTAGGAGTATACTCGAGAAATCTTTGGAATCATGATGGCCTCATAGGCATCCTTCGTGTTCATCCATTCTAAGGCAAAGATTTCTTCTTCTTTCATATTATCAAGTCCTGCAAGGAAGACGTCGAGAGGAGATGTGCGCTATTTCTGCCATCTTAGAACTCGTTGATACTCCTCGAAAATAGACTGTCGAAGTATTTGATCTTTCGATGGAGGTGGAGCTGGACTTGTCTCATTGATCTCTTCTCTTGTCTCTTCTGGCAAGCCAGGTTCTTGTGGGAGACTTAAGAGATCAGAAGAAGAAGGAACACACCTGTCCTTTTCTACCATTGCAGGTTCTTGTGTCAGAATCGGGTGGACCTACTCTGCAATAGTAGGTTCTTGTGGTAGGGAACTTTCGGATGTGAGTTTTTGCTTCTTCTTTTCCCGCACAATGGCAAGGACTTGAGAGAATTTCTTGACGGCAGGAGCATTTTTGGCTTTATCTTCCCCCTGAGCAGTAGGCGGGGGTGTAACTGACTTCTGTATGAGCTTGGAGAGAGTAGAAGTGGGAAGCGGAGCTAATCGAATCATGATTTCTTGAGCTTTGTCATGAATTGGTCGAAAATGAAGCTTGACATTATCTGTACGTTTGTTGTCCGAACATTCACCGTCGGACGAATCCTCTACTTGAGTGTGTTCAGAACTGCTGATTTTATGGACGTGTGTTGACGATTGCACAACTTTGGCTTGTATTGGTGCAGATTGTGAGATGGGTTCGGCTGCCAAGTGAGTTGAAGTCTCGAGAGGAATTGGAGATGAGATTGGGATAGTGGTTAGATCCTTCAGAGACGCATGACCACTTTCGTCTTCCTGAACAGCAGAAAGAGAAGGAGATGAACCTTCTTCAGAGGAATGCTTGACCTTTCATGTTCGCCGTTGTCACTTTGGTGTAGCTTGATCACTTTCAGAGGTCATCTTTCGTTTTGACTTTGACTCTGGAATGGGCAGATTCAGTTCAATGGCTCGTTGCTTATCGTAGCCAGAGGGCTTTGACTTCATGTGGCAAACTTTTGGGCCAAGCGAAATGCTTTCCCTTAAAGCGATGTTCTTGTAACTGAGTAGGTGGCCTATCATTAGACCGAATCCAACCTTTCGCCATATATCACCATCCGAGGTTTTGCCCGCAGTGATATGGACTCGAAGATGTTCAAAGACAACTTTCGACCAGTCCACTTTATAACTGTACAAGAAGGCATGAATCATTTTCAATTTCTCTTGCGTGACATCATCTGTCCCAGATGTCTTGTGATCAACAATCTTTTTGAAAATGTCAGCAACAAATTCATAATCCAGCTTGAACCACTTCTTCTTCAAAGGCCATTTTACATCAGTTCGACTTTGAGCATTCTTGATTTGAGCATAAAAGGCATGCTGATCATAGAAATATAACGAGAAATTTGAATTGTAAGATACATCTCTTTCTGGAAAACCAAACGCCGTTTTGATGTCCTCCGATGTCAACGAAATGGCTGTGCCGTTTATTTCAAAGGTGATCATAGAAGCATCAACAGATATAGTAGCATTCAAATAAAACTGTGTGACATCAAAATGGTAGAAGAAGGTGTAAACATGAGTTACATAGCTATACAAACCACTTTCCTTTAGCAGACGGATAACCGAGTCCCTAAACTTCTTGTTCAGAGCATACTGGAGAAATCCGTGTGCATCCCACATGTATCCACACGGTATAAAGTGTTCTCTGGATTTGATGAAGGCTTCATCCGAGGTGGGAAACGTTGGAAGCTTTTCAGCAGTTGTAGATGGAACCTCTTTGGAGACTTTAGTTTTGGATTTCTTCTCCATTGTTGTTCAAAAGGAAGAAGGTTAAATATTGAAGGTTCTTGGTAAAGAATGGGAGGTTTTGAGAGAGATCAAGGTGGGAAGGAAGGGTTATGAGAATGAGATTGTAGGGTTAAATAGGACATACCCGAATTCTTAGGGTCGGGTTGATGGGTGACCCGCAATTCAAATTTGAGAAGGGGTATATGGGTAGGTTCAAATTGGGCTTTGGGTCAAGTCTGAAAATTTGTGTATATAAGGCAATATATCTGTGGGGTTCATCTGATAAGGAAGATATTAGATCAAAAATTGTCATTCCATATTTAATGTGGAGAGAGAAATCCACTCGAGTATGGGACATGGGCAATTAATGCCTGTCCTTTCCACTGACATGATCAGGCGTGATCATGGGTTAGTGGACCGATTTTCTCGGCCACACGATATTTTTTATTAACTTCATCGAACGGTTGGGATAATAGCTTCCTTATGATAACTGTTTTATGTTCTTGCAAAGATGGCTTGATAAAGAAGAATCAATTCACACATCTCCACGAATCAAATAAAGTTTCATGAAGATTGATGTCGTTCTTTCGGGTGTCTATGTTTCGAAAGAATCGTCATTTTAAAACACGAAACATAAAGATGATTTATTATTGATCATACGAAATATAGACATTCTCATAACAGATTAAATCATCTTAATACATCCTTGAACATGATAAAGGATTCCATTGTCCTTACTTCTTGGCTTTTCCCTTCTGAAGCTCAAGAGTTCGCTTCTTAAAGTAGTCCTTGCGGAAAAGCTCGAAGGCGAGAAGGTCTGTTAGAACAGAGTCATATTCAGCTTCGGAACTCTCGTCTTCTTTGCTTTCGGGATCATTGCAGGGAAGGTTGCGAAGCCACAGTACATACTCTCTGTCATACAGAGGGTTGTTGATGAAGGTTCCAAAGGGATTAACTCCAGATCCATCTTGTGGAGGTGGTGCTTCATTCTGAGTTAGTGGTGGAGAGAACTTATCTGCATTAATGGGGCTTGAACGTGTTTCTGAGCTTTCTCCATTGTCACTTTGGATTTTTCCTCTCTTCTTTCG